AAAAAAAAAAAAAAGAAATAGTTTATACATTTTCCTTCTTTTCTTTATATGCCTTAAAACAACAATAACAAAAAACTAGATGTGAAGTTAATAAATTTGTATATTCAAGGGACTCTAAATTTCTAATGGAACATGTCAAATTGGCTCACATTTGAATTAGCAAATTCTTAATTCTGGAATTAGATCATTTGCCCTATATATGCATGCATTATTTTGATAACTTTAAGATAAGCAAAATACATTAAGGAAACTTCAAAGGAAGATTTGTCTTATTTATTCAATAATCAGGAAATGTCCATTTTGTGTACAAGATGTTTTCCCTTCCTTTAGAGAGAATCAACACTTGAAATTACAGAAAGCATTGTCCTGAATAGATTCTTCTTGCTTTCCAACACACAGGGTATATTCTGTGTAATTTATCCACCTTAAATGCAATTTGCAATTTTCGGAATATTTATTTAGTTCATCAAAACAAGCAATTTAATGGCCTTTAAGATTTGACAGTATGTTTCAAACATCCTGTTAAAGAGAAACTCTTAATTCTATCCTATAGAAAACCAAGATGTAATTGAAACCAAAAAAGTGCTTCCCTTTCTGATGCTCAGAATCATGTCTCTTTTCAAAATAATATGTAGGCTGAGAGTTTCCTTTCTTTTTCTCATAATTAACTTTATTTCCCTTTAAGAATGCCCACTGAATCACACTGTGACTATAATAAAATACATTTGCACCCAAAAGAAACACAGCCGTTCATAAATGGGTACTTCTTTAAAAGATTTGTGAGGATGTCTGAGTTGTGTCTGAACATCAATATCTGGATAAAGGTTGCAGCTATTTTTAAGGTTGAATAATTTCATTATTATTTCTAAAGTGTCAAAAACCAAATTTGTTTGATTCTTTTTTTCAAAAGTCATGTAAGCCATCCCAGCTTTCTCTGATTCATAGCCAAGCAGACATGAGCAGCAGGAGATTTCTGGTGGTGACATAATGTGATGGGTAAGGGGGGTGAGGGGATCGGGCTGGCGGAGGGCGGGGAACACTTGGGATTGAATCAGTGTATTCATTCTCAAATATCATTCAGAGACTGATCATTCTGGATATCAATCAAAATTGCCACTTAAGATTTTCACATGATCTTTCCTTCAAAACTATCTTAAGTTCTACGAAAGAACCTAGATAACGAGTAAATAATATATAACTTTTCTTGCTTTTAGCATTTCCATATCTATTTTCACAATTGATCAGTGCCACTCACTCCACACCCCACATCAATAAATTTAAGAGACCGCTTTTTGATGTTCTGATAATCACATTACCAGATCAAAGAAAAGACACATTTCATAGAGAATACTTCCAATTAATACAAAGCTAATAAGTTTACTCACTTTACAAATATGTTTTCATTCTCAGAAACTCCAGAAATACCCAACGTGTCTATGACAGGAAAATTACTAAAGGAAAAATACCTCTCAACTCTGAATTAGACAAATCTCTTGAAGTTTTGTACAAATTCTAGCCACATCAAGCTTTCCCTGCTCTTCAGTGACATTTTCAAAATCAGTTCAAACAAAATAGAAAAAGGGGATAAATGTCTTTTCTCATTTGAAGGAGTATTTGAGTTTATTAGCCTCTTCCTCTAAGGCACTTCTTGATACCTCACTCCCATCTACTTTGTTTATTTGTTTTGCTTTATTTTGTTTTTGTTTCCTTCCGTCCCTAGCACCTCTTTTTGAGAAAAAAAGATTAACATACAGAACTGGAGGTGGGGAAAGACTATTTTCTACAAAATGACTGAGACCCGAGGTCTAGAAAATAGTCATGTTAAAGAAACAAGAGGATTACAGTTTCCGGCATCCTATCTCAAGGTCCCTTTTAGGGGAACACAACAACATTTATAATATTTTCACCCAAATCCTTGAGTCTGCTCCATCTCTTTCCTAAAAAAGCTTTGAAATAAGTTCTCTGCATGTGATCTTTCAAGCAGTTTGTCAGAACAACGGCAGCTACATTTCACTGCAAATAAAGCCCAAGTGTGATAAACTGGATAATCTACTTCTCTAGCCCATGTAAGTTTCAAATAATGCTTTGTTTGTGAAGAAAAAAAATACAAATGAAACGGATTATCAAACAAAAGTGATATACACGTACACATTCGGAATGAATACAGAGAGCAACAGATCCTACGAGACAGAGACATGTCACCCTAACTCGTGCTATGTGTTCAGTGACACAGCTGGCCTGTGGCTCCTTTGTCACGTTGTTAAGAAAGTGATTCTCAAACATTCTAGGTTAATGGGCAGTGAGCAAAATTAGCAAACATCAACAGCCCCAGGGTCTGCAAACGGACGACAGCAATGTCCACAACCACCCGGGACAGCTGGGCTGTGCCCCATGAGCCCTCACAGTCCAAAGTGACTTTATAGATGTTTAGAAAAAGAGGCAGAAGTTTCTATCTGTCAAGCTGCAAGGGTCCTTATGGATTTGGTTCCTTTCTTCATCCAGGAGACAGTGGTTACATTGACTCTGCTCCTGTGAGTTAGAAAGGATGCTCCTGCCATCCACCACTACACACTGAGAGCGGGAGCCCGCTGCCCTTAAGCCTCCGCCACGTCCTGCAGCGCCAAGTGCAGCGCAGGCTACAGTTGGCTGGGCTGTCCTGTTTTAGCAAAGCAAACCTCCTCTTACCTCGACTTCCTTGTTCTTCTCTTTGTTCCTGCCCACTGAACTTCTCCCATTGCTGGCAGTCTCCCGTACTGGGATTACGGAAATCTGGTGGAGGGGCATACTGGCAGGGCTGCCTGAGGCCAGCTCGTGATTGGATGCCTTATCTCTTCACTCGCCCTGAGTAGCCCACCTGCACAATTGTTCACATCCTTGCTTTGCCAAGCTCAGTTCTAAACAAAAAAAAGGGGGGGGATAGTGTTTGAGACACTGTGTGGCAGAAGCCAGGGTCTCTGGCCAAAATGTCAAGCACACTGAAAGGGAGTTTAAAAGAAATGTAGGACCAAATAATCCGGGGAGTGTTGCATTCTCAAAAGGACGATTTACTGCAAGTCATAACTGCACTGCTTTGTCACTGGAGCACCCCCTCTCCCCTAAGAGCATTGTGGGAGACTATTCAATTTCTATGGTACCTAATAACTGTCATGGAAACCAAGGAAACCTAGGTCTCACAGGCCCTTATTAGCAACCGCTTCCTTTAATGGCACAGACTCCCACATTTGCGGCGGCTGCCACTTCTGCTTTTGTTTCTCCCGATTCCCCAGGAGTCCACTAAGCACCCAGAGACATTGCGTCCCGCTGACTAGGTAAATAAGCAGAAGGCTGAAGAGCTTAGTGTCCTATTTGGAGCCAAATCTCCTCCTTGAAAAGCACGGCTAGCTGGCTGTGTCCTTCATGCATCCCCAGTAATCTACTTAGGTCAAGGGATCTGCCTTGAAGTGAAGAGCGTTGAACAAGGTGTTTAAAAATAAGAAGGGAGAGAGAAAGACAGAGAGAGACAGGGACTGGGAGCAAGTGTAAATGTCTTTCTTTGGCTGGTTTTAAGAGAGAGTTAACCGTTTCCTGCACCTTCCTTAGTAAGACATCAGCAACAGGAGTGAGAAGGCATCATCATTCTGAGGCACACAACACCACACGGCCCATTTCAGCTTTACTGAAACTTCTGTGCCTCTGAAATATATTTGTTAGGATCAGTAGTAGCCTCTATTTACTTTGCCAGGAAGGAAACACACTCTGCTAAGCATGTGACTGTGCTCTTAACAGTTAATACAATTTGGAGAAAATAAATGGTTAATCAAAATTTCTGTCCTTCAAATTAAAAAAAAAAAAATCCATCTCTCAGTAGAGCGAATTCACAAAATACATTAACTTTTTAAAAATCACTCTCCCCTGTGATCATTTCCTCTTTGTTAGGGTATTCAGTAATCCGTCTTTAAAAGGACAGAATTTTAGATACATGCACTTTTCCAGACATTGTAAATAGATCAGATCTCTCTTTTGTGTTTTGTGTTTCTTCACCCCAAAAGAAGCAAAATTCAGAAAATCTGTTGTTTTTACACTTCCTTACACATCTAATTTGTCCCCAGTCACATAGGAGATCTTCAAAGTAGTTTTGAGCTGCGATGCCTCTCTAACTAGCCATTTCTATAGGATGTTTATATTTCTTTAAACTCAGGATAGAGATAAAAAGTAAAAAGGGTAGGTAGTCTCCTTGGCAAATTAGCCAACAATAATCACTGTAAAGATTGCTAAAAAACTTTAATTTAAATAATTGCTGAAATAAATACTTCAATGTACTTTCAAGTTTGGTCTAACTGTGAGTTCCTTTTGACTGGCCGCCCTCTCATGAGCTCTGGCAGTGGTCCTCACTTCTACCATCCATCAGGCTCATCTGGGGAGACTCTGTAACACACAGATACCTGAGACTCACTTTACCACAGATTCGGGTTCGGTAGGACTACGGCGGGAACCTGAGGTGGGCATTTCTTAAAAATATCACAGATGATTCTGATACAAACCAATTTTAAGAACCACTGCACAATATCAATACAATAGCTTAAGAAAAATAAGCTAATTAAAGTTTGCCTTGTGACAAATCTCTGCTTTAAAATAGTAAAAAACAAGAGAGTTAGGTAGCCCTAACCTTGGCATTTGCTCATCATCACTCTTAGTTTACAGAGCATATTTGTTAAATACAGTACTAAAAGCCAAACTCCTCCAAAAATGCCATGTTCAAAGTTAAACTGATAATATCTAAAGATTGCTATGGCTTAAGGATCACATCTATGACCTGTAATTATGAGGTGGGTAATTCCTTACTTTAAAAAGAATCATTAATCTCTCTGTCTAGAGGGGCTCTCTTAATTAAGGGAAGGTTGGAAATAGAAGTCTGTAAATTTAATGGTGTGTGACAAATACTAAAATGTAAATTATGAATCTGTTTAGAAAAGTAATATTGTCAGTGTTTACATCCATGAAAAATTCCATGAAAAGCTAAGGCAGCTTTCCAGATAATTTAGACTCCAGTACTTTTGCTTAAAATATTCATTGAAGTTACAGGAAAGGAGATTTTTAGCTTGAATTAACCAAAGGCTGTCTTAATACTTTACCTCATTATGCATGTGAGTTATTCTTTGTTTACTCTGAGATTTTTCAAAAATCAGATTTGAATTTCAAGCTAATTTGATTTATGTGGTTGAGTTATTTCAATTAGCTTTATCTTGAAATTTAAAATATAAATCAAATTTCAGGAAAAGGATATTTACTTCCTAGAGCATTTTATACACTAAACAAGAGGTTTATTATGTTTTTTCAAGTAAATGCTTCAGAAATAACAAGAAAAACTAATAACCAGGATATTTAATAACATTTAGCTGGCACTATATTAGGTATTCCCATAAAATGAACTTTCAAAAATTTTGAACTCTATTGGGGGAAAAAAGGCTTCTACCACTTTGTGGTACTTAGAACGCTGGAACATAACATCAGCTAATGCCAATGACTTGGATTTATCTAACACCTTTCTTAAAGCAGCTCCCAAAGTGTTCTGCCAACAGGAAGCATGGAGTTTCTCTGAGATAACTCATCATGCAACAATCCAAACCTAAAAAAAGAAAAATGTTGTGGAATGCATTTTTCCTATGGGAGCACAGTCCATCTTGCACAGTAATTAAACCCTATGGAATAAACAAGAGGCATTCTGCGTTCAACAACTGAGCACTACCAGGTACCGGCCATGCTACCAGAGAAGAGCTGTGGCTTCTGGAATCATTCAGCTAATTTGTATCTGTGTACACAATCTCAATACGTAATCCAGATTTCCAAACTTGATTTTTGTGGAAACTATTGACTCTAATTATCATTGAAGCCATTCTGGAACATTGGCTCTCCACCTGGACACTATTTCATACACGTGTCTGAATTACATTTGTTTTGCTTCTACTCTGTGGCTTCCAACCCTTTGGCTCTGGGAACAGTAGCTCAATTACTGCCTCTGGCTAGTAAATTTGGCATTTGCTGTTGGTAATTCTAATGTTAGGACTGAAGCTCTCCCTAAGAGATTCTAAATCTGGTACTTCTCCTTGTTCTCGATGACCTAAGTTGTCTCTAGTCCAAAAGGAAAACAAAACAAAATATGCATCTGATTCTCCACTGTAAGTAAGACCTACTTCAATCTTTGTCGGCTTCAAAAAAAAAATGGGCCTCTAAGGGGTTTATTTTTATTATGATTAAGCAAGAAAAGAAACAGAGTATCAAGCAAAGACAAGTACCCAAGTAAATATCTGCTGATGTATTAACGGGACAGACTCATAATTCAACAAGCATTTATTGAGCATATTCTCTGTTTTCTGAGCCATGCTAGGAATCAAGGAGCAGGAGGTTATATACAAAATTATATGGGAAAATTTCAGTAGTCAAGGAGTTTGCTGTGTCACTAAGGAGATATGACTTACACAGGTTAGTCAGTTTGAAAAATACATGGCACAATACAATAGATATTTGAAACGTAATACAGAATCTTAAATGTAAGTGTCAAAGAAGGTTTGAACACCAAAAAAAATCATCACAGGTCTAAACGGATCATTTTAAGGAGGAAATGGAGTCCAAGGTGGGGCTTAGCAGGGATAAGGTATTTAGTCACTTCATCGTAGAGATGAGTGTGAGACTGGCATGTGAAAGTTCAGGACATTCATTTAAATAACAGAGAAAATTTGTTTAAAGTTATCAATTGGTTTAGGCCATATATGGCCATTAGAATGTGCCACTGATTGAAACTTGGGAAAGGAGAGGGAAGAAACCAGGCCAACAACTGGAAGAAAGAACAAGTCTATGCAAAGCAATATCGAAATTATAAATGCACTGATAGCGGTCATATAAGTAATAAAGATAAGAACATTAAATGAATTATGAAAATGGAAACAAGGCATTCTGAGTCGGGGAAAGGATATTTCGTAACACACCCCTATTGATTGAATGGGTTTTCGACCTGCCATCGCACAATGCACCTGATGGCCACTGTCAGAGGTTATCGGGAAGAACATACGAGCAAGTTATCATGGCATAAAGAGTTTGTATCTCGTGGAAAAGAAGGGGAGAAAACTTAGGTTAAAAAGCTATTTTTAGGGGTGCCTGGGTGGCTCAGTCAGTTAAGCGTCTGCCTTCGGCTCGGGTCATGATCCCGGGGTCCTGGGATCGAGCCCCGTATCGGGCTCCCTGCTCAGCGGGAAGCCTGCATCTCCCTCTCCCACTCCCCCTGCTTGTGTTCCTGCTCTCGCTGTGTCTCTCTGTCAAATAAATAAAATCTTAAAAAAAAAAAAAAAGCTATTTTTACTAGGGAAATGCTGAAGAATATACTTATGTAGAGTTACTTAGAGTTAGGGAAAATATCAAACAAGCAAAACAAGATCCATGGGAAAAATGAGAGAACAAAATAAAAACAAAAATAATTAAAATTTCTGGTTCTGGGTTTACAAAAAGTCTGCAATGCAATGAATTCTAAGTGGGTGTGTTTTCCTGGGTTTTGCCTGATTGTTGAAATCCAACTGTGATTATATTTGGGATGTACAAGCATCTTTCATAATTAGAAGAATATCCATTTAACGCAGAAATTCTGTCCCTGAAGACCTTTCAGAAGCAACTGGATGATCAACCTTCAATACTGAACATAGGATGATGGGTGAGATGACCTCTCAAGATCTTTGATTTTATTCTCTGGAAAGTATTGGTCCTAATTTTGGACACATCGTTTTCTGAAGTTGAAGCAGACTATAATGGAGCCAAGTAATTTATTTCAGTCTTTTGGAGAATCGATAGCAATCCTCACAGTTACATAAAATGTGTGATAATTACAGCAGGCACTGAAATAGTCAGTTGTACTAGTTTGTATTTTCAT